TCACTTCAAACATATCATAGGAGCTACAGGGACTCTGGGAAGGGCGTCCAGTCAGTGCAGTCGCACAGCCAATTGTCGACCTGTTGCTGACATGAGGTATGCGCATAGCAACAGAATTTATCCAATCAACATTCTTGAATCTCATGGCTCAAGGGCGATTAATTTGTTGCCCCAGCCAAGTCTCTCGGTGACGGAGTAGATTTCTGGTACTAATTACTAACGCACTGTTTCATGTGCTCAGCTGTGTACCTCCGTCACAAGGGGTCACTGACGTGCCTCAACTTATCAATACTGGCATTAAATAATTCATATCCTAGAGCGCAACGGCGTCCTGCTGTTAGGGTTATGTTGCATTGGGAAAGTTACTGAAACTGGTACTAATATGGCACAGCCCCACACAGGATATTTTCACCATATTTGTTTGTTTGTTTTTTAATTTATCTGAAACTACAAAAAAATGTAGTGCTCATTTCTATCAAGGTTGTTTTTACTCATTATTTTATTTTATTTTTTTACATTTCCTTTTTAAATGTAGTGAACTAAAGGTACTAAGTTTAAGTTTTTGTAGGAAAATTAAAAACACTGCAGGTGATAAGGGGCAGCATTTACTCATGAGAAATAGATATGAGAGACTCTTTTTTTCTGGATTTATGGACGAGTGAAGCAAATATCAGAGCCATCTTTGTTCTTTCTCTTTGAAAGATACACTCTGCCTCCTGCACCCTGCTGTCCCTTAGCGTTTACTTCTCCATCTGTCTCCCTTGATATCTGGTTCACTCCGCCCCACCTTCCTCTTTCCACGATGCATTTAAATGGGGTATTTAGAGATGGCCTTTCTCATTTCTACACACCAACTTTAAGGTAACCTCAATATTTCAACAACCCATTAAAAGGAGAAAAATGACCTAGAAAAAGGCCCTCAAGAGATGTATGAGGAACACAAATACCAGGAAGAGTTTCATGACAATGTTGTCCTTGCCCCATTTCTGATTTATTACATGTAGTATTCAGGCAGTAGAAAGTTAGATTCTCACAAAATGGATCAAGTTTTGAGACCACAGCTAAAGAAATGTTCACTTTTCTGGTCAATGAATAACATAAGATATAATTTTGAAGTTTATAAAAAATATTTTTAATTTTAAATTTTCAATTACTGTGAATAATTATAATAACTGCAGAGACACAAATGCGCTAATCAATTTTATCAATTTGTATCTGACATTAGCTGGTTTTTAACACTTTCATCATTGTCTGAGACAACATAATGTTAACTAAAATATTGATTGAAAATAATCATTCAAAAAAGCTGTTTACATGTTTTGTTCTGAGTGAATATTCCACCGGAGCAGAATGGATAGAGGCATTTGTGTTTCAGCACCATGGACAGAGGTTGTTTATGCAGCTATGTACTGTATGTAGACATGTGAGCAGTAGAGACGTACAATATGCAGGGAATATATTTGAGCCATGTTTGCATGTTGATATCCTACCTAGCCGTGGATCGTACTGCCTCATCTGAACTTCTTCCACACAGTCTGCTGGGAACCAGCCTGTCCTTCCTTTGACCGTGCCTTCCCAGAATCCTCCTTCTCCTATACTCAGGACTAACAGAAAAGAAAAGATGAAATGTAATTTAACAGAAGGAAAGTTTGATTAAACAATGACATCAAATAAATAAACAAAACATGGATGGGTTCCTCTTCAGATCAAACAGTCCTTGTTCAGAGCCAGACGTTTACATTTACATTTATGCATTTAGTAGACGCTTTTCTCCAAGGCGACACACAAGAGTAGGATTAACAATCAAGTTAGATAGAGGAACTTTTAAAAGGAGTTAGAAAACAAGTGCAGAAGGAGATAGAGGAGGGTATGATGAGAGAAGGACAGGAAAGTGCTAGGACAGGCGGTGCTCTCTGAAGAGGGACGCCCCTGTTCTAGTAGTGGGTGGTAGGTCGTTCCACACTGGTGGAACAACCAATGAAAAGAGCCTGGACTGCTTTGTGTGGGATGTTGGAACAGCCAGACGAACGGTGAGATCGTGAGACAACATAAGTCTTTATCAGAGCACTTTAGTAGGTAGGAGCAGACCCAAGAAGTACTTTGTAGTCCAGCAACAGTGATTAAAACAATTGTACCATATTAATCCCATCCGCTGTATGAGTTGCTGGCACCAGCATTCTAATTATTAAAATAGATTAATAAGATGAGCTGCAATGCTGCCACCTAGTGGCTTTCACTTTCACATACAGCTGTTTTTCCCCAAAACTATTTATAGGTCACACATCATTTCACGGTAAAACCGATAACGATGATTCTTATGGATAGACCATAATTATGCTAATATCAGGAAGATAATATCGGTCAGCCAAGATTATCAGACATCCCTAGACATCCCCGCTGTTAGCAGCATAAGCTGCTAAGATGAGATGAGACTTATTCTAACCTGTGTATAATATACAAGCACAGGAGAGAAGGCTCACATAAAACAAATATGTGCAACACAGCTTTCACAAAAAAAACAAAAACCCTCTGGGGTCTGCTGTGTTAATTAGAGATGAATGAGTACTTGATATCGATCTGCTAGACGAAGCCAGCATATTCACGTTCTCATTGCTTATCATTTATTTATACACACACACACGTACCCACATGCACACACGCAAACAGTCCTCAGAGATCAGGAGCTGGAACTACGGCCTCACTTCAATAAGCATCCCTTCTAACGTGGTTGCTAAGATACAGCAGTTTGATGTTGGAGCAAACACCCTGCTGAAAGATGTAGTCTGCTACAGTGTGTTTCTCCCAAGGATGGGGAAATGTCAGAGTGATGTAACAGTTAAAGTGAGGCCGATGGGACATCACACAAAGTGACATCATTAGAAAAACAAATATGACCTTGTTTCTTTCAACACAAGTCCTTATTTTGCAACTAAAGGAATGTTCTCTACAAAACAATGACTAAAATATATCTTTGACACATGATTATATGCTTGACATTCATATAGGATGTCCATAAATCAAATGCTGCCAGGTTCAAGATATCTAAGACAAGTAGGGGTTTACTGTTTATCGACTTGCAGCTCTAAAAAACATGGCTCTCAGCACACTGAGGGAACACGATCTGATTCCACACTCTGATCTCAGCTTAAGACAACTTCACCGCGCTGGTCCCTTCGGAAATGATTCCCTCAATGTTCTTTCTACTTGATTTTCTCTCCTGCCCTTGCTTTATTACAGGCTTCCTTCTCTCACCCCTCACCCCCTCACCCTCTCACCCTCTCACCCCGTCACCTCCCTTTAGGGATTTATTGAATAACTGCCTCCCGGCTCCATTGATAAAAATGGAAATAATAGAGCAATTTACATATTTTAATGATATAACATCCATGCTGCTACATTCTATTTTAAGCACTGTCAATATTAATATTAAGTAGAGTCAAGTATGAAGAAAAGAAATGTGGTATTGGCTGATGTGGGAGTAGAGCTTATATTCAACTGCTGACCACTTCCAGAGTGGTGGATGATGCTTTAACCCAGTGATTTTCAAAGTGGGGACTCTGCCCCCCTCGCGGGCTGTTGGGGTCGAGGGGGTTGACAAAAAAAAATGTCTGTGATTTGTCAGTGTTTGTACACCTTAACATTACATGATGTTACTGTATGTCTTAGTAGGATTTGTTTTCATCATTCTGTGGGATTTTTCACCAATACGATGACCAGTATATAACCCTAGCTGTGCGAGATGCCAGATTGAACAGTGAATTGATTGTGTTTATGCAACAATTTCATACTAACATGTGCATGCTACACCCATCACATGTAAAGGCAACTTAAAGTGTCTGTATTACCCTTGCCTTCCACTTCCTTTGCTTAGGTTAGTTAGAAACAACCCCAACTACAGAGTCAGACATATCATCACAAAATTCAACCAATACACACAGCCGTGCTGCTTCACCTCACAGAGATTCGCAGTTTGTTCCCACATTTGACTTTACATGATCCCAGTGGGCCCAGAGGCACTGATACAGACACGGGCTGACTCAGAGAAAACCTGTCTTAATATGTGCCAAGTTTATTCACCGTCGACTGTGTCTGCTCTGTGATTAGAAGTCTGATGGTAAAGGACCAGTTCTTCTTTTTTCCCAGTGCCTGTGTGTGTGCATTGGTATGTGAACAATTCTACGCATACTGGAGTTACTTCAAAGGCTCTGCCCTTGATTAAGTCAGTCACGACTCCTGCTCTAAAAATAGCATCAGTGAGGAGCACAACTATTTATAGTCTTCACACGCACCGCTTGCAACCGTTCCCTGCATTCTCATTTAAAGGTGTGTATTTGTGTATGTCAGTATATACTGCAATGAAATACTGAGCTCATTATAGTAATTTAGCTCTGCCCTGATATTTGCTGAGTCATAAGGGGTAGTTTTCTCTCCCTTTTATTCCGTTTGTTTCTCTTCAGCACAGTACAGGGTGACGTGGACTATGAAGACTGACTGAGTGTGAATAATTGACAGTTTATTTTGGTAACTAACCACGCTCCGCTGTAGTCAAACCTGTCAGCTCTGTGCGATGGTTATAAAATGTATTTGGCAGAAACGTTTTGACGTCATTTGTCTGTATCACATCTAGCACGAGGTAATGTTTTATATATATAAATATTTACCGTTGACCACTGATATTATTAAATGAGTGAACTACTTTGCATTTTACCCATCACCAGCAGGGGGCAGCTTAAGGGTCCGGGAGCAGAGCACCTCAGTGGTAACTTGGCAGCTGGTGGACTCAAACCTAAAACCCTAGTCAGCTGTCTGGACTGATGAATCTAAGTACAAATTTTTCCAAGGTTTCTAAAAACCTGTGTAGCAGGAGCATCAAACCCCTGTATGTGCCTGCAGACACTGAAGATAAAGGAGCTGTGCTGAGACAGGCTGCTGGCTTTCTGCCATTAATGCACTCACTTTGAGAGGCCAGCGAGAACCATAGCCAATATGCGACTTGATTTTTATAAAATATCGTGGACGGGTTTCTGCACAAAAGAAGAGCTGTTAAAAACACTCCAAGGCCTCCATGCGTCTGATGTCACTTAAACAATACGACTGTAAGACATTTCCTTTCGCTCCACCCAACCTTAGATAGATACAAAGTAATCTTGCTACTCTGTGGATCTGAAGCCTCCTGCTATGATAATATCAATTTTAAAAAATGATACTACTCACTGTAGTCATTCACCCTCCAATATGTTCTAATTCAATGTTTGCCTCAGGCACAAGAATTTTAAATAATGTAAGTTTCACCAAATAAATCAAATAGTTTTGATTGTAACATTAGTAGCACATTAACGCTAACTTTTCCTCAAGTTGTTTAAAAAACAGCAATCACAGATATGAAATAATAAAGAACAAAACTCATTATAGTCACTGGATATTTCCTGTCTAAAATTACAGTAAAGCATAACAGAATCTAGAAGATGTGGAGTACAGTATTTAAGGCATTCTTATCCTGACCTGCAAAATACTACTGTATACGAGTAGAAGTCGCACCTTTTTCATCCTTTGGCTGGGTTTGTGACTTATACTCAGGTGCGACTTATATATAAAAAGTTTCACAAGTTTGTTATTTTTACAGTGACAGCCGCCAGAGGGCACTCTAGGCTTGTGTATATACCACTGAATATTTACATGTTCGTTATTTTCACCCTGACAGCTAGAGGGCACTGGTGCAACTTATACTCTGGAGTGACTTAAATATGATTTTTTCTTCTTTTTTTCAGATTATACAAATAAAAAAGTTCCCATAAAAATAGCACAAACATAAGAAACTGAATGTAACACAGGCTGCTATAGAGGTTCGTCCATTAGCTCAGACAGATACACCACTCTGTCCAACACGGGGAGAACGTCAACCATTCACTTTGGAATCAAACATCCTATGTAAACAATGATTCAGAATCTCTAGTTTAGCTTAACACACATATTAAAAGGTTGCACATTGTCCACAAAGAAATTCAACGTTGGGTACAACAACTGCACTGCACTGTGGGAAACCAAGTCACACTGAAGAGAACGAAAGGGAAACAAATGCAAAGATGAAGCTGCGCTAACAATTAAAACAGAAATGGTATTTATTTAAGACGTCCGTGGCCAAAACCCCCGGTGGACACTAGACTAATAAACAGGAGTCACACTGCTTGGAGTCAATGTGTGCTGTTCTCACTGGACTTCTTTTGCTTGTGAGAGGACAAGGATTGGTGCAGTCCCTGCCTCATCAGTATTCAAGGGAGAGAGAGGGGGGAGCGAGGGGGGACAGAGAGAGAGAGAGAGAGATGGAAAGACAGAAAAAATTATTGAGGGGGGTATGTGAGGTGAATGATTATCATGCTTTAAACAACAAATAGCACAACAAATTTTTAATTTAATAAAAAACGTAGTTGGTAGAGAAGGAAGAAAGGAAGTAGAAAGCCGACTGGTTCAAAGGGATCCTTTCTTCACCTCTTCTCCCTTAAGGGGAGTTACAGGACATCAGTCTTGTTGAATTCTAACTTCCCTGTTATATCCTCTCCTATTCGTTATCTCTTTCTGTTTCAGCACCCTGTCTGTGACAAAAATA